TGTCATGCAGACTAGAGAAGTGCTGGTGGATGATAGCAAAAGGAGGGAAGATGATCAGGACAGAAGGAGTTGAAGTTACAGAAGGCCAAATAGAAGATGTAGAGAACAGCTACAAGTACCTGGGGGTATCACAAATACATGGCATACACGAGGAAGAGGCAAGGAGGAAAGCAACATCCAAGTACCTCCAATAAGTCAGACAGGTCCTGAAGTCCCAGCTCAATTACAAGTACAAGATCCAAGCCATCAACACGTATGCCCTACCGGTCATCAGGTACCCAGCTGAATAATAACCTGGCCAAGAGAAGAACTGGTCACCATGGATGTCAAGACCAAAAAACTACTCACTATGAATGGAGGATTCCACCTGAAATCCATCACCCTGAGACTGTACACCTGCCGGAAATAAGGAGGTCGGGGCCTGATGAGTGTCAAGGCCACAGTCCTGGATGAAACACAGAGCATCCACAAGTACATCACGAAGATAGCTCCCAAAGATGAACTGCAAAGGGAATGCCTGAAACTTCAACAGATAGAGGATGCAGAAAAAGAGGAGGTTCCTTAGCAAGACAATCCTCTCCATGGGGTGTACCACCGGTAGATAGTGGATGTGGCTCACATGACAATATCCTACCAGTGGTTGGAAAAGGCAGGACTGAAAGACAGCACTAAGACCTGTACCCATTTTCTCAACATACAATTGGAGGTAGCAATATTATATATCATATATAATGAGCTTGTTCCTCAGACTGCACTGTAGGTCTGTAGATCTGTTCCAAGCATACATAGGTACAACTTTCACTTTTTCTGCATGATTCTCTGGAAAATTTACTCTTTGGTTCGAACTGACAGTTTATCATACATCACAAAAGTCATGTCCTGCTATCTTGGATTGGTCTGGGGAAACCGGGGAACTATCCCCAGCAGGTGCATTGCTGTCAAGACACTAGAGCCATATACAGTCCTTCAGCAAAGCTTCCTGCATAGTGTGCCCTGAATGGGGCTGGCCGGGAAGGCTATCAAGCAAGGTGACATGTATTCACACCATGCTCTATCCATTTTACTTTCCAGTTTCAATTTTAAACATTGTGACTAGCATGCCCTCCATAGGCTTGTCCACCCACCTGTCCAGTTTAATATTTGTTAGTGTAGGAAAGTATGGTTTAGAGTACTTAGGGTATTAAAGTAATTTTACTATATATACAGCTTTCAATGAAATAGAAGAAATAGTACTGAATGCACGCACATAAAATATTTACAAGACATATATGCATGCTTTAGTCAAAGTAAAGCCTATTGTGTGTGATGCTGTAAGCTCTTATGTAATTCTACTGAGGTTCAGAATTGGCTGGTTAATGAGCTCCACTGAGTAACAATATATGTTCCATCAGAGTAAAATCTCTACATTACACCACCTATCAAATCTAACCTTGAGCATCATAGAATATAATGGATTTAATGATAGCTTATAGAGATAAATGAAATTTAGAAGCACAATTATTTAAAATAGGGAAAATAACCTGTTATTTATAGACTGTTTAACTTGACATCAATTGAGATAAAACAAAAATTGCCCAAGAGGATTTAGTTGGTCTCTGTGCTGAGATATGCAGGATTATATTATACTGAGAAAAGTTAACAGTGAAAATCAATATGATTTACATGTAAATAAATATAGTCATGCAAACAGGCTTTTAGATTAGAGAGCACATGTTAATCAATGCAGCATTAGTTTATTTTATTTTATAAATATTGGCTCTTTAAAGCGGCACTGTCATGCCGAATCCTGATTTTTTTTTAAGCCCCCTCTGGCCTCCACTATCTCTAACTGACACCCCCAAATGCCCCCAAAGCCCCCCACATTACCTATTTTTTAATCTTTATTTTCTGCCCCGATCTATATTCAGGGCGCCGCCATCTTTGTGTGGGGGGTGGGGGCCGGGGGGGTGGACAGTAGGTCCCCCCCTCATTATCATTTGGCCCCCACCCGCCGCCCAGGGGTGGGGGTGGAGGGGGAGGACAGTAGGTCCCCCCCTCATTGTCTTTATGGCCCCCACCCGCTGCCCAGGGGTGGGGGCCAGAGGGGGGGTGGACAGTAAGTCCCCCTCCCCTCATTATCATTATGGCCCCCACCTGCCGCCCAGGGGTGGGGGTCGGGGGGGGGACAGTATGTCCCCCCCCCTCATTATCTTTATGGCCCCCACCTGCCGCCCAGGGGTGGGGGCCGGAGGGGTGGTGGACTGTAGGTCACCCCCCATTATCAATTGGCCCCCACCCGCTGCCCAGGGGTGGGGGCGGGAGGGGGGAGGACAGTAGGTCCCCCCCTCATTGTCTTTATGGCCCCCACCCGCTGCCCAGGGGTGGGGGCCAGAGGGGGGCAGTAGGTCCCCCCCATTATCATTATGACCCCCACCCACCGCGCAGGGGTGGGGGCCAGGGGGGGACATTAGGTCTCCCCCCTTATTTTACTTTAGGGCCCCCACCCGTCGTTTTTTTTTTTTTTTACAGTGAGCAGCCAGACATGCCCCTACTCGCGGTATAGCGAGTAGGGGCATATTATTTACTAATACTAAGTAATTTTTACTTAGTATTGGTAAAGTTGGCTAAAAGACCAATTTAGGTCTTTCAGCCTTTTAGTACATAACTCCCTGATACCGTGGGAATTAGGGAGTTATCTACTAAGCAGCTGCAAGATGCAGCCACAGCAAGAATAGGATCGGAGTTTCATTCATTCGAATGAAATTCCGATCCGAATAAAGTGCCAAATTGCGTTCTAAAAGAAACGAACATACTGTTCTCATTCAGTTAGAATGCAATTCGGCAGTTTTGTGTAAAGCGACAGGAAGCATCGTGGGAACACAGAGGGAAGGTGAGAATCATGGGAAAATTGCTCTGACCAGTGGAAATGAAGCACACTTTGCTCCTCCGCTGGTCAGAGCTGGTCAAGCGGAGGAATCCTCCATAAGGCCAAGAGTCCCTACTTTGTCTTATGATTTTAAAGAAAACTAAAGAAGACAGGAAGAAAAGAAGAACAGATCCTGAGAGAGGGGGAGAAGAGGAAGAGCTTGAGGAAAGGTAAGTTCGGCATGACAGTGCCGCTTTAACGACAAAAAATTATGAATATTACAAAAATACATATTAAGATCACACATCTAATTAGCATTAAAAAGCAAGATCTAAGGAAAACATTTGTAAATGTATCAAAAACTCAAAAAATGATGCTGCTGTAATTTAATATAGCAAAAAACCAAGAGGAAGTGACATATAAATCCTCTTGGATGACAACAAAATGGAATATGGGAAGCAGTGGCATACTAACAGGGGGGGCGGGGTGTGGTCCGCTCGCCCTCACAGTGTTTTGAGCTGAAGTGGGAGAGTCTGGAGCCAGCAGGGAGCTGCGAACAGGTGAAGGAGCAGGGTGAGTGCTTGCTAATATTGTTTTTTTCTTTGTTTTAAAGGGTTGTTTTTGTGCAGGGGTCTTGTAGGGGAGGGGTGGGGTCAGGGGTCTGTAAAGTGGGGTTAACAGGGGACTGTAGAAGGGGGTAGGCAGGGTCTTTTGTTAATGAGGGTGCAGAGGGTTTGTAGAGGGGTGCAGGTGGTTTGTAGGGGGGTAGGCTCTGGTAGGGGGTGAGCAGGGGTCTGTAGAAGGGGATTGGGCAGGGGTGTTTGTGAGTGGGGGGGTGCAGGGGGTTTAAAGGGGGACAGGGCTCTTGTAGAGGGGGTGAGTAGGTTTTTTGTAGCAAGGGGGCAGGGTTTTTGTGAATGGGGGTGCAGGGGGCTTGTAGGAGGCAGGGGTCTTGGAGAGGAGGGCAGGGAGTTTTGTGAATGGGGTGCAGGTAGTTTGTAGGGAGGCAGGGGTCTTGTAGAGGAGGGCAGGGATTTTTGTAAATGGGGTACATGAGTTTTGTAGAGGGGTGCAGGTTGTTTTGTAGAGAGGCGGGCAGGAGATTTTGTAAATGGAGGGTGCAGGGTGTTTGTAGGAGGGGCAGGTATTTTTGTGAATGGGGATACAGGTAATTTGTAGGGGAGGCAGAGGTTTTGGAGAGGATAGGGGTGAATGAGTTTGTAGAGGGGCAGGGGTCATGGAGAGGAGGGCAGAGAGTTTTGTAGAGGGGCAAAGGTTTTGTAGAAGAGGGACTGGACAGGGGGTTTTGTAGAGGAGAGGTTGCAGGTTTTTTTGTAGAGGGGGCAGGGGTTTTATAGAAAGGGGGGTTTTGTAGAAGGTGAACTGGGCAGGGGGTTTTGTAGAGGGGCAGGGGTTTTATAGAAGGGGGACTGGGCAGGTGTTTTGTAGAAGGGGGGACTGGAAGACAATGAAAAAAAATAATAATAATAATTAGAATTAAAAAAAAAATTGTGTTTTTTTTTACATTTAAAAGGCGAAGGCCAAACAAAGGATCCACCCCAGGTGCCAAATGCTCAAGGTATGCCCCTGATATCCCATATATCCCAGGGACACTCGAAAAACTGTTTGATAAATAAGATTTTTTTTTTTTAAATAAAATGAAATAAAAAAATAAAATATACGCAGTACAACCGGTTATCTGAAAGCATCCATCCAAAGCTTTAAAATTCAAGTAAAATAAGCAAGAGAAAAAGAAATTGAGTAATAAGGGGGGCGGGTTACGCCAGCAAGCAGAGCAGACGCACGAAGCCTGAGCAACCGTTACACAAATCCGATTTTCCACGATTACGAAAACGAAATAATCTTTCAACCGGGATCCGATACCTGCACACAGGAGGACCTGGCGACAAGCCCGACACTTTGCACGAGTATCCTGGCGATCAGGAAACCATGATGGCAAGCCATGGCCTACAGGCGGCGGGGGATGGGAGAGACGGCCGTTTTCCCAGCCACCGCACCGAAGACCCACGAGCACCCTGCTCCCTCCCCCATGACTGGTGGGGGTTATCCCGGTCCAATCCTGAGAGGGCACATATGGGCGGAGAACCAGACGACATAAGCATGTGAGCAGCGAGATGAGGCGCGGACCCGCAAAATGGCCGCCGCCATGTGCCCTCACGCCGCAGCACTACCAAGTCTTGGAGTAAGGCTAGAGGCCATACTGGCCGCCTTCTGGAAGCGACTGGCAGCCAGAGCACAACAAGCTGAGGCATACAGACCGACTGGAGGCTCGCCCAAGACACTGCCGACGAAACCTACATGCGGAAGCAACAACCCACCTGCAAAGAGAATCCAACAGAGACGCCTGCACTGGCAAATTCCCCGATGGACCCACAAGCCCAAGCGAATGACCCTGACAAAGCTGGGATACCGCCGGGATCGATGCCCTGGACAACCCAGGCCACAAGCAGAGGGGACCCTCGGGAAGCCTCACCTGGCCCAAAGAAGGAAACCGGCACTGCTGAGGAGACCCAGGTGACACTCTTCATGCCTCCCCCACCCATGCCACACGGACCTAATGCTACCCCTGCACAAGCCGCCGGTCAAGCTCCTGGCTCATCCACAGGACATTGTAACACCCCAGCAGAGAGACGGCTGGTCCCAGCAAGGAGCAGACAACTTGATACTGCAAATCAGGTGGACTATAATGTTCCCCTAAAAGTTTTTGTTAATCTCACCTTATTTGACTAGTTACTCACAATGTCAGTCGGTATTTCTTGACTCTAGCTTTATTGCTGCTACCGCTTCACTGATTTGCACACATACTTAAGCATGCCCACATTTTAGTTATTTTAGACTAGCCTGATATTACCTTGTCATGTAAACCTAAAAGTCAACGCATTATTCCTGTTACACTCACGCTGCAGCAGCGGTACCTTCTCCCGACATAGAAACGTACAAGACTCAAAAAAAAGCTTAGCATATTTCACACTTAGGCTGGTTACCTGTGTAGTCTAACCGCTAAGACATACGTTGATTGTTTAATATGCTCAGTCATAGGCATCTAGCTCCCCCCGGAGGGTTGCACCTGAGCCTCACACAAATTACTAGCCTGTAAGGGTACCTAGCTATGTAAGACTGTAAACCTCATGTTGTTACCAGACAGATCGATGAATAGACCTAACTTGTCCGAAGCTGAATACTACACTTTAAGTCGATGTTATATTGCTTTAAATGATCCAACCTGTTTATATTATAAAATTGTGCCTGTTAAACAAATACCCTGCATGTTAAGTGAGGGAAATGCCTGAGGACTGCTGTTGGGGTACCTCAAGGTTGCTTGTAATAATTCTATGCACTGCAAAAAAATTTTTTTAAAAATGGAGTAATAAATACGTAAATTATGTACATGTACAAATAGAAGAATAAAACCCAGAGCAGGAAAAAAAGGGGGGAAAAAAATAATAAAATCTTTTTGTACATGTACATAATTTACATATTTATTACTCCATTTGTACCCACTCCTGGTCGTTGCATGAGTTTTTTCTCTTGCTTTTTTTACATGTATGTGGATTGCCAGTGGTTTTGTGTTCTTGGGGATTGTTTGTGTGTTTTTGGGCTATTTATATTATTTGTATGAGCAGAAGGATTCTTCTTCTGCAGATCTGTGTATATCTAGCAGTGTGGGTGGCTTCCCTCAAGTGGGGACTGGCTTTGCCAGGTAAATTTCAAGGGCAGGAACTGTGATAGTTGGCTAGCTGTGATAGTTGCTGCAGGCTGTTGTACTCCAGTGCAGATTCCCATTCACGATGCGTAAATTGAGGAATGTCCCTCACCACCTGCAATCACAGCTTGGTTTGCACTAGCAGTTATATGAAGTTCCACTGGGACTCCTGATAGGTCAAAGTCTGTTTGGCTCCAACAGCCTTGAGTGCCACACAAAGGGACGTGCCGTAGGTTGCTGACTCCTTGCTTAGAGAATGCATTCGGTAACAGGAAAAATTAAACAATGATTATATTTCTATTTGTAACCTTTGCAGAGTATATGCCTTGTTTAACCTGGATTATGATGTAATTTTCTAAAAGAAAAATAATTACCTGGCAATCGGAAGAAAAACCTTTCTGAGTAATCTCTACTTAATGTGATCTATCCAGTTCCTGCTGAGAAATTCAGCAAGTGCATTTCCGCACTAGCTACGACTATGGGTAAGAGGCCCTGAGTGAACTTCTGTGCCCAGGTCATTATAGGTTTCATTTAATTTATCTGAAGTTCACCCTTGGTGTTTTTTCTGACATTTTGTGTTGTGCATTGCTGTCCCATTTTGACTTGGGACATTACAGTGATCCATTATAACTTCCTGATACATCCGTGGCATCAAGTGCTTTTCCTGTCCAATTTTTGGATGTCCTTTGGATCTTATTTTTGAAACCTTTTTGTTTTTCATATTTTAACTACTCTAAGCTTAAAACTTCACTTTCTGCACTAATGAGGTTCCAAATTTTAAATTGGCCATCATCTGTGCCCCCCCACTATTTTCAAAGATTGTAGCTACATATTTACATGCATGGGGTGTTTGGAGTCATTTTGTGTGTCAGCATGTTTGCATGGCTAACTGTGTGTGTAGTGGTCACTGTGGTCACTGTGCAAAATGCATTTTATTTAAATAATACTAATGTACACTCAACAACACACTCAACTACCCACACAGCAACACACTTCCCCTACAGTTACCTAAACATAAACCACATCACTTATAGCTACTCACACACTGACACACCATGAACTGCCACAGAAATCACTCACAACTATCCACATCATACACAGACTGCCACTTACACAATGCATACAGCCATCTCATACACAGTCAAAACATTAACATCCACACAGCTATCAGAATTACAACCACCACTGTGGCTGTCTTTGAGACTTTCTGATTAAAATAGTTTCACTCAGCTATGTCTGCGGAAGCACTTTTAGGGTCTTTTACTAGAGGCATTTAAATCCTGCAATGTAAACACTCTCATTCCTAAAGAACAGTAATGTACCACACTGCAGGGTTAAAATGAGAGGGACATCATCGCTTGGATGACTTAGAGAATCGAGAACACCACAGATATATATGTTTGAAAAGGTGTTCCAAAGGTTTTTTCGGAAAAGACACAACACACTGACTCGTCTATTTAACACCATATTGGACACTGTTGAATTGAATTTGTCACCGCTCCACCAAGGGACATTTTCTGTTGTATATTACATTTCACTGAAAGGAAATCATGTTTCAAAAAGCTAGGAACATGCAAAGCATTATGTTTGAAGGCCAGAACACCTGCAAAGGTTACAAATAGAAATATAATCATTGTTTAATTTTTCCTGTTACCGAATGCATTCTCTAAGCAAGGAGTCAGCAACCTATGGCACGTCCCTTTGTGTGGCACTCAAGGCTGTTGGAGCCAAACAGACTTTGACCTATCAGGAGTCCCAGTGGAACTTCATATAACTGCTAGTGCAAACCAAGCTTATTTCAGGACTTAACTCACATAGGATTACAATACTGATGGGAATTCCCTTTCTCACTGATGCATGGGATGGAAAAACACATTTTCTCTGAACTCAAAATTAATTACCATTGTTCTGCCATTCTTTCAAGCTACGAGAGATGGAAACATTGGATTGGTCACCCTACTATCACTGTTCATGTGCGAAGTCCAACGAGCAGGATCCACCATCTCAGCCCAGTCCTCCAGAAAACACAGAGGCAGTATATCATCTTCTGTTGTACTGTTGTACTTGCTGCTATATCTGTGGGACAACTAACTGTTGGTTGAGTATTCCATATGGGTATAAGAGGACTTTTTCTTATGTTGGATTGCTCACAGTTTGTTTTATAGTCCTTGCAAATTTACTTATTTATATCTTATGGTTTTTTTTACATCTTTTTTCCTGGTATTTTACTGATAGTAAAGTGTATAATTCTAATACTCTTGCACTAATTGCCTTCCTTCTCTTTTTGACCCTACTGGGTTCTGAACCCCCATCAGCACTAGTTTTTGTACCTTTGACCAGGCAGGTGTGACTTGTGTCCCACTATTCAGGCCTCTGCTCCTACCTAGCAGGCACAAGTTACCAAAATATGTATTTTTATTTAAAAAAACAAAATAAAAAGGTAATGTTCTTTATTATGTTAGTTATGCTTGTCCATTATGGTTTGATACTGCTTAACTGCGTATACACCTTAGGTTATCAGAGTAAGAACTTTGGGCACCTATGGTGTGTCCTTATGAGACTTATATATTGGGTAGTGACTGAGCTCCTGTTTTATCCATCTCCTGCTAATCCCTTCCCTTCCTGTTCTTTCTATATTCTGCATTAGATTATTATTTTTTGGGCAATTTTATTTTGAGTTTTTTGACTGGTGTAGTGCCTTATGGCTGAATAATTTGCAAATCAACATCTATAATGTTAAAGTTTTTAATGATCCCACTAAGTGCATCTCTGTCCTTAAAGATCTGAGGGCTATTGGTATGCCGGTTGCTTTAATTCAGCTGTCTTACTTACTGGATCAGGGCTGAGTTCGGCCTCAGACTTGCTACTTAACACAAAGTTACATTGCTTCTTCTCACATCTCTAAGACTAAAAGGGTTGAGGTTATTTTTGCTGACTCTGCATGGTTTCATCACATTGAGATGCATAGGGACGATTTTTTTTTTTCCAAAGGGACATAGAAGTGGCTTACTTTTTACATTTGCAAATATTTCTCTCCATACAGGCTTTGTTTCTTTTTAAAATGTTTTGATTGTTATAAAAATTAACTGAAGGCACTTTGATTTTTGGGTAGACTTGAACCTGCCCTTGAATCCAGAGTTTGACACCTCTACAGGGGTTTTCACCATTCACTGCTCTAAGCTCTACAAATTAAAACTTGTCTTAACTAATATGTTTGGTGAATTCATCAACCTGACTTAAATATTTTAAGTTTTATTCCTACTTTCATAAATGAACCGAGATACATTTGGGTTCTTTGTCCTCATCAACTATCACTCAGACCATGCATGCATGCAAATGACTTGCCAAAATCCACATATTTCAAATCCATGTATTTCAGATCCTCTCATTGGGTTCTTAGTGAGGCTCTGTTGTTAGATAATGCTACTGTTGAGCAGACGAAGTCTGTGATAACTAACTATTTTAAAGAAAATGCCTCTAATGAGGTGTCCCCAACTATTCTATGGGAAGTCCACAAGTCAGTGATCCAAGGGGTTTTGATTAGCTAAGCAGCCTCAGATAGGAAACAAAAAGCTACCATAATTACTGAGCTACTCAAGCAAATGCAGCACTAGAAACTGTTCGTAAGGTGAACATCTCAGATACTACTTTACAGGAAATTATTACTCTCAGTGCTAAATTTTATTTCCTACTTAATGTCAAGGTCTAGAGTATCATTCAGAAATGTAAATCTAAATTATAAGAGTTTGACAAAAAGAATGGTCGGCTATTTGCCACGGCACTTAGAGAACAGAAACGTACTTATGTATAA